GAGTCCTCCTGCCTCTGAGGGTTTGCTCACAACACCCCTCTGTCTAGAGGCCCTTTACTCCTCCTAGTTACTACATGTCCAGATCCTACAGGTCCTAATCTAGATTGAGGCCTAACAAATGCAGCTTCCTCTGGGCAGCTCTCCTTGCTCACACTGTCTGGAAAGCCTGGCCCCTTCTCCTGAGTTCTTGGTCCTTCTGCTGGGCCTCATAGAGCTCTGCCCACCTAAGTCACCCTGGAGGTAGGATTGCTTATCTCACCTATTGGCCCAGGAGCTCCTTGAAGGCAGAGCCCACATCCAGGGGGCTGAGCCAAGGGGACATAGACGGACAGAAGGAGAGCAGCTGGAGGGGGCTGGTCTGACCAAGAAGGGGTGATGCAGAGACCTGGGCTCTGCACAGTGGGCGTCTTGTCGGGGGATGGATAAGCCGGCCAGGGGGTCAGGCCCTTCCTTTGGGCCATGGGCCTGTAGCTGGTGGAGGCTTGGGTGGTGGGAATGGGAGAAACCTAAGCCTTCAGGAGGGAAGAGCTAGAGGTGGGGCTGAGAATGGCATTGAAGGAGTCAGGCCTCTGGCACAGCTGTTTGTAAGTCAAATGCAGGCTGCTGTTTCCACTTTGGCAATGACCTTGGTTACTTAACCTATTGGGAGTGATCATGGTGTTACATCCTCTAGCAGAGATGGGCTCCCTCAAAGAGCGTTGTTATCCTTGTGCCAGGATGCCAGGAGGGGAACCCAGGGAGGCTGGCCCTCTCCACAGAGATGCCCTCCTGGTGCCCTCCAACCCCTGGTAGGAAGCCTGGAGGCATGGCCGAGTTGGAGCCTGAGGTGACCCAGCTTGGCCCTGGGAGGTGACTTGAGGACAAGGAAGTGAGGTGGTAGCCGAGCTGGCCAGGCTGGCCCAGGAATGTGGGAAGGTTTCCCTGGCAGAGGGCAGCCCGCCTGGCCGGGAGGGGCCTGGCAGGTGTGGTTCCCTGGCTGGCACCTGCTGACCCTGACCCAGGATTGGAAGACAGACAGGACAGGGGTGCAGGGCCTGCTCCTCCCCATATCCTCCCTCTCTAGTGGAAACAAGAGCCTTCACCCCTGGCCCCGACCTTCACCCTCACTTCCCATTGAGTCTCCCCGGCCAGTCTCCTGGGGCTCACTGGCTCAGGCAGCAGCTCTGCCACCCCCCTTCAGAGACCTAGCTGATGGCAGTCCTGGGATTTGGAGCCCAGTGGCTCTTGAATTCAGGTCCTGCATACATGCAGCCTGTGTCTTCATCTGGGAGATGGGGAGTGGCCAGATGAGAAGAAGCAGAGGCAGCAAGCCCAGTGCTTGGCCAATGAACTTCAAAGCAAGGTGGAGGGAAGGAGCAAAGCCCCTGCCCATGTCACTGCCTCAGGGGTCTTCTTGGGCCTGCACCCACATCCCCGTCCTGCCTTTCCCACTTCACTCTCCCAGGTAGGACATCTGGACCTTCCCACCCACCTAGGAGGCCACACCACTGGAGCGGGGAGGGGAGGCCTATGCCACAGCCCCAAGCCTGGCCAGGGAGTTGGAGGCTTAGCTAGAGCTCCAGGCAGGGCAGAGGGGCCCCTCTGGGAGGAGCGGACTGACTTCCTACAACATCCAAAACTCACCAAACCGCAGCAGCAGCAGGAGCAGGGCCATGGCCGGCAGCCGCCTCATGATCTTGAGCCTGGCTGGGGTGCCAGGTGGGGGACAGTGGTGGTGGGAGCTCCTGGAGCGCTAGAGTGAGGTGCCAGCCTCCATGAAGTGGGGTTTTATGCTGGAGGTGAGTGTCGGCTTGACTATGCTGCCCAACCTGTTGGCCTGGCCCGCCCAGGTCTGTTGGAAGGAAGGAGGCACCCCAGAACTCCGACTCCTCCATAACCTGGCCCTGAACCCCTGAACCCCAGGGGGCCAGACCCCTCACCCTAATATACCTTAGTGTCTTGGGGCCAGGGTGCACCTCTCCCATTTGGGTGCTTATGGCCTGGGGTTCTGTCTGTCACCATGAACTGACCACAACCCTCCCTACTGACCACAGGCCTCACATAAGTTGGTTGCAGTCCACCCACTAGACTGTGGGTGTTTCATTCATTCATTTGTTCATTCATATTTATTGAACACCTGCTATGTACCAAACATCAGTGAGCCAGAGTTTTGGCTGTGGCTTACACTAGCGGGGGGCAGACAGGGAAAAGTCCAGGTCACCGGTGCTTATGGAATAAACAAGAGCAGAAGGAATCAGGACGTGTGTGTTTGGTGGGGTCCCTAGCTGACCCCAGTGCCCCTCACGGGCATTCGCCCCAGGAAACTAGGTCCTAGAAGCCCCCACCCAAACGTGCGGTGCCAGGACCAACCTCAAGATGGCCCCAGTCCCGTTCCTGGGGCTACACCCTTCTCCCCGGGACCGGGGGCGGTGTGGTGGAGGGGGCTTCCCAGAACCTGCGGGCCGGGGCGGGCGGGGCGGAAGCTGGTTCTGGGAAGGCCGGTCCGGGGTGACCGTCGCTGGAGTCCCTGCCCTGGGCGCGGCCTTTCAGGATCCTAGACGTGCGGCCGCAGCGGCGGAAGCTTCTCGGGGAGGAAGTTATTTGGGACACTGGGCTACGTCAGAGCAGGAGTCGGGGCTCCGGCGGCCACACCCCGCTCAGGCCGCGGGGTCAGGGTCCGGGCGAAGCCCTGGATGAGGTCTGGAGATTCCTGGATGAGGTCTGGGATGGGGGGCTCTGGATGG